GGGAGGCGGGCACGCGGGCTGGCGCCGGACAGTGGCGCTCAGGTGCGCGGGCTGGCGGTGGAGGAGGTTGGAACTGCGGGCGCGGGGGCAGTCGGTGGGGCTTGGGGAGAGGGTGAGGGCGGGTGGCGCGCGGCTGAGGCGAGGACCCCAACTCCTGGGGTGCTCGGTGGGGAAGCCCGCGTGGGCGCCTCGGTGGGCGCAGGCGGGAGTCCGGGCGCTGGGAGGTGGGGGCCTCCCGTGGCAGGGCGTGGCGCGGCCTGGGCACTGGCGGGCGGGCTGGCCGTGCGCCCAGAGGCGGCGCCTGTTGGGGTGGGGCCGACGCTCTTGCCCGCGGGGTAGGGCGCCCCACCCGTCGTCACTTCTTCCTTGCCCTTTTGGCACCGTGCAGAAGGTCCGTAGCTCTTCGGGCGGCTGGGGAACCTTGGTTGCCCGCCCCCCTAAAAGTGGGCGCTACCTTTGAGTCACTTGTGAAAGAGGTGCGGCGCCTTTAACGGAGTCCTGCCCCTCCGGTGTCACTCTCGCCGCTTCCCAAAGGGGTTGCTGGGGGAACCGCACGTCCCGCCCCCTCCAGGCTTCGAAGCCTAGGCCAGTGGCGCTCCCGCACACCTAGCCGCGTCTGGCCGCGCCTGTCCTACAAGGGAAAGGGGAAGCCAAGGCCCCCAGCTCAGCTTCTTACTTGCTAGGTGACCCTGGGCAAGCCACTTAATTTTTCTTTTTTCTTTTTGTTGTTTGTTTTTTGGAGTCAGGCTGGCCTTGAATTCACTGTGTAGCCCAGGCCTGCCCCACCACGCCCGGCCACTCAGCCTTTCTTTTTTTTTTAGCGGGGAGCGGGTTGAGACAGGGTCTCACTATGTAGTGCAGGCTGAGTTTAAACTTGCTTATGTACCCCAGGCTGACCTCGAACTCGTGGCGAATCTCCTGCCTCGGTCTCCCGAGTGCTGGGATTACAGGCGTGCACCACCACGCCCAGTTTACACTCAGCCTTTCTTACTCACTTTTTTCATCTGTGAAATAGAGATACTAGCTCATTAATTTGTTGTGATGACTGAGCGAATCAGTACTTATAAAGTTATTAGAACAGTGCTTGGAGCGCAGCAGCACACAAAAAGTATTGTGTTTAGCAATTACTGTATGTCATTTCCCCAGTCTTGGTAGGCGTTTGAGAAGATTTTTCCCCTGGTGGTGGGCATCAAACTCAGGCCCTTGCACGTGTAGGCAAGCACTCTATCACTGAGCTACACCCCCAGCTCTGAGAAGTGGTTTGCATTTTTTTTTCTGGTAGCCATCTGTGTTTCGGATTCTCTTCCTCTAATTGAAACCAATCCCCTCAGGCTGGGGATGTGGCTCAGTGGTAGAGTTCTTGCCTTGCATGCACAAGGCCCTGGTTGATCCCTAGCACCACAAAAATTAAAATGAAAAAACAATCCCCTCAGTCCTCAGAGCTGATGGAGGTTCCCTTCCCTTGTCACCCTTTCAGATACTGTGCCTGGTGATTCTGATTTGCTTCAGTGCCTCAACGTCAGGGTACTCCTCCCTGTCGGTGATTGAGATGGTCCTTGCTGCTGTCTTCTTTGTCATCTACATGTGTGATCTGCATACCAAGATGCCGTTCATCAACTGGCCCTGGAGTGTGAGGAGGGGGGACCAGCAGTGGGCAGGGGCCTGGGCAGTTGGGATTGCCTGGGGGACTCTGGAGCCTGACTCACCCTTCTCCCAACGCCTCACAGGATTTCTTCCGAACCCTCATAGCGGCGATCCTCTACCTGATCACCTCCATTTTTGTCCTCGTTGAGAGAGGAAACAGCTCCAAAATCACTGCAGGGGTAAAGGCTGTGGTGACAGCTCTGAACTACAGGGGAGAAGGGTTGGAGGACCAGGGGCCATTTCTGTCGCTGCTTCTGGCACAAAGTAGTCACACTTGCTCCCAGGCCTGTCAGGAGGGGAGGTCTGGCTTCCCACCATGGTTTATCTCCCAAGATCATTTGCTATAGGGGCTGTCCCTTGTCAGACACGGGCTTGTGGGAACACACTAGGACAGCATCTGCTTCAACTTTGTCACAGCTGTAGTGTGGTGTGTCCCCTCCGTGTGGGGCCACCACGTGCCTGCCCTGTGTTGAGAAGTGCTGGGGGAAGGTGGGGCAGAATCCAGCCTCCTGGCCTCTCCTCGTGGCCCTCGGACTTTGCAGTCTGGGGCTGGAGTCACCGTCCTGCATAGGCCAATCCCCTGAGCTGGTGGCTACGGAGGTAAAAGGCAGACTAGGCCAACCACCTAAGCCACCCCCTCACTCCCACCTACACCCCCAGGTACTGGGCTTAATTGCTACGCTGCTGTTCGGCTATGATGCCTATTTCACCTTCCCACTTCGACAGCAAAGACATACAGCAGCCCCCACTGGTAAGTGTGTACGGGTGTTGTTGAGACAGCAGAGTACAAAGAGAAAGGGATCTCCCAAGGAAAGGTGTGAATGCCAGCTCCATCCCTTACTGGTACTTAGGGGTTTTGCACCAGTAAATACCATAAGCCTCAGCATTCCTGTCTGTAAGATGGACATATAGATTGAGTCAATGCTTTCTCTCTTTTCCTCCTGCAGACCCTACAGATGGCCCAGTGTAGGCGAACTCTCATTTTTCTCTGCAACCTGCAAAGAACTCCTCCACTGAGAAAACTCCCCATCCCCACAACACTCCCAGCCCCTTACTGAGGTAAAAGTGCCTTTATTGGGAGAATTTTGTCTGCCAGCTTGCCAAGCAACCCTCCTGGGTGTGGTCACCTCTATGGGAGTGGCTAGGTCTCCCTTCTCCAGCATCCCAAAGCGGACATCAGTCTTTTGTGGGCCCACACCCCTGCCTAAGCCACAGAAAGGGAGGGGAGTGCCTCCAATTTCAGACTGTGAGCTCTGAGCTCCACCCGGTAACCCGAGGAAAGTGACCTCCTCAGTGTGGAGGGTGGTTCTCTGGAGTGGAAAATAAATAATAAACAGATTGCTAAAATCTATGAGAATGAATAAATTAATCCTGTGACCAAAGGTGGATAGATCTCAAGCATCAGGAGGCGGTGTTAGGGGGAGGGGGCAGCTGGAGCCAGGAGGCAAAGAAGCCAGGCCTGTTTTACACATTAAATTACTTCAGCGATACAAACAGGAAAGAGGGAGGAAGGAAGGAAGGGGACTTAGGACTTCTTTTCCGGTGGGGAGGCCATCATGTGCGGACTGGAGAACGGAGCCCCCTCTAGGGCTGTCTGCTTTCAAGCCACGATGCAGTTCTTGTCTCGGGCCTGGCGAGGCAGCCCTAGCCGAGAGTCCCCGGGGAGCTGCAGGGCTGTGGCGTTGGTCTCAGTTGCAGCACCCTGAGGGGCCCTGGGCCTGCACAGGTGTGGGGGCATTGGGATCCGTTCCCCTAGGAAGAAGCCATCGTCCTCAGAGGACTCAGAACTGAGACTGGAGGGTGAGCTGGAGCAAGAGCCGGAGTCTGACCCTGATGCCAAGTCACATCGATGGCGGCCATGTCTGCCAGAGTGGCAGTGATGGTGGTGGTGGTGTCTGCGATGTCTCCTGTGGCGGCGGCTGGAGGCTCTGGGTGGGGGACTGCGTGGCCTGCGGCGCCAGGCTGGGGGTGCACTCAGGGTCCGCCGTGGACCTCCCTCAGACACAAGTGGGTCTCGGAAGCTGACACGTGGGGTGCTCTGGCGACCAAAGGCACTATCTTCCTGGTGCAGGTCCGGTTGCCCAGGAGATTCCAGGGGAAGTTCTGGAGCATTTCGGAGCCCCAGCTCGGGCATGGAGTGGCGGTGGGGGGCCCCTCTCAGGAAGTGGGAAGGCTCCTCAGGGCCTACAGCTGGGAAAAAAGAGAGGGAGCGACTGACTCCCTGTATCTGCTCCTCCGGGCTGCCCTCTCCTGCGAGACCTGAGGAAAGGCCTGCTTTCCCCCACTAGGACTAGGGACTTGGTGGTAGGTGTCAGAAATGGGCAGGGAGAGGCGGAGGAACTGGGAGGTTTTTTTCTTTTTTCTTTTGTTTCTTTGAGACAGGGTCTTGCTGTATAGTTCAGGCTGCCCCTGAATTCACTATGTAGCCAGGATGGCCTTGAACTTGTGGCAACCCTCCTGTCTTAGCCCTCCGAGTGCTGGGATTACAGGTGTGCACCCCCACGCCCCGCCCAGCTGGAGCTGGGAGGTTTTTTTTTGTCTTCTCGAGACAGGGTCTGCCTATGCAGTTCAGGCTGGCCTTGAGCTCACTTTGAGGCCTAGGCTGGCCTCGAACTCTCAATAATCCTTTTGCCTCAGCCTCCCAAGTGCTGGGGTCACAGGCATGCGCCATCACGCCCGGCAGAGCTGGGAGTTTTTGAGGCCTGGTGCAAGATACTGATTGGAGAGAGGATAGGAAGTAAGGCAGAGGTACCTGAGGCGGGGTTGGTGCATAGGGCGTGGCCTGGGAATGAGGAAGTGATTTTGGTGAAAGGGCGTGGCCTGAGCTGGAGCAGATTTGGTTTGCCACAGAAAGGGGGGCGGGGCCTGGGTGAAGAGGGTGGAGGGTGACTGGGTTGAATGAAAGAAGCGAAAAGGGCTCTGGCGGAGTTGAGATAAGGGTAGGGCCCTGTGCGGGAGGGAGCCGCGGACCAGGATTCCCAGGGCAGAGGCAGTTGGGCTGGAGAGTAGGCCTGGAATGTGGTGGGGGAGGAGGCGGGGCCCGCTGCGGTCCGTGAGGGGTCGCGTGGAGGGGGGCGGGGACCTGGCTGGTGAGTCTCACCTGGCGCGGCCTCCGTGCAGGTGCCTTTGGTGGCTGTCTCGGACGTCCCCTCCACAGCAGTGAAAAAGGCTGTGGAGGCTGCGAGTGGGGCAGTGACAGTGCCTGCGCTCCAGCTGCGGCGGCCTGGCCTGGGGGCCGGGGCCATGGGCTCCGACCCGAGGCTGCAAGCTCGAGAGCAGAAGATTAGGCCGCGGCGGGGCAGGAAGGGGCGGCCCAGCAGGGCTCGACCGCAACGACTGCAGCAGAAGCAGCGGTCTGAGGCGTGCCAGTGCTGGCCCTCGTAAGCCATCTGGCCCTGGTCCAGACCTGCAGGGACCAACGCGGGGGTAAACTGAGGCAAAACCGCCAGGCAGACTCCGCACCCCTCCTAAATCAGGCCTTTCTTAGGCAGAAGTGAGGAAACTGAGGTCAGGTACCCGAATTTGCTTCCCCCTTGTGGAATGGGGCTCTTCTCCGGACAAAGCTGGAAGCTTGAGGTGTGGGCTTCACCCATGATCCCTCATCCCCTTCTCCTGGAGACTGGCTGGTAAATGTCTCCCAGTCCCTCCTCCCTTTCTTTCCCGAGGCCCCTCCAGCAGTGGAGGTGAGCACTGGACTCAGATGTGGGCGGGCTTAGACGTTTCGGGGAGGCAGCTTCAGGTGGAAGGTGAGTGGAAGGCTGGGCTGAAGCAGCGGCCGGGTGTAGGGGCAGGGTCTGGGTGCGGGTGGGATGCCGAAACCTAAGCTGGTGGAGCCTAGCACAGAGGTCAAGGCCGTAGAGCGAGGCTTCTAGCACGCCTGGCCGGAGGGTAGGAGTGTAGTGGTAGCCTAAAGTGCGGGTGGGGTTTACAAAGAATGTCAGAGCCGGGAGCGGGACTTGCAGTGAAGGGCACAGGCCTCTGGTGCTCCACCTGGCCTTCAAAGACAGAGTGCGGTGGGAGATGAGCCTGGAAGCCTGGAGGCCAGGCGGCTCCTGCGGGACGTGGCTGTACCCCTCCGTCCAGCCCCGTAGTGTTCACCCACCGATGTGCTCCCCGCAGCCATCACAGTACTCGGCGTGGCGGGCCTCGTAGCAGGCGCAGCAGTGGGGGCGGCTCTGACGCATGACATATCGCTGCCCTCCTAGCGACGCTTCACACTCGAAGCAGCAGAAGTGACCCATGTGCCAGTGCCGGCCCTCGGCCTCTGTGCACTCCGGGGAGAAGATGATCTGGAGGGTGCAGGCCACCGACGGCTGTCAGAAGGGCCAGACCCTGGCCCTGCCTCCCCTCCACTCCCACCCCTGGGCAGAGAGGCACACACCTCATCACAGGCTTGGCAGCGTGGGCGCAGGCGCTCGGCGTGGTGACGCCCACAGTAGACCTTGCCAGCATGATAGAAGTAGATGAGGTCGACCAGCAGCTCGCGGCATGTGGTGCACACAAAGCACTGTGGGTGCCAACAGGCGCCCAGGCCCGCACGGCTCGCAAACACCGCAATGTCCCCACCTCCGATCTGCTTCCCGCACTGCCAAGTGACGAGAGACACTGTCACCATCACCAAGATGGTCACACTGATGGGGTCAGCTGGGTATTTCACATGTGAGTCTTCCCATGGTGAACCGTCGTGAGTGGCCCCACCTACAGGGTACCGTCGAGACAGTTCCCACCTACAGGGGGTGATTGGACACCGGCCCTACTCATGGGAGAAACCACAGAGACAGGTCCTACCCGTCGTGAGTGGCCTTAAAGGTAAGCCACGTCCACAGAGGGCTACAGCAGACATAGAGGCAGGCTGGCCCCCGTGGGGAGCTGTAGACACAGTCACCACCCAGCAGGACCTCAGCCACAGGCCTTAGCAAATATTGTGTTCTAAGGACAGAACCTACACGCTAGGGAGGGACTGGGAAACAAATTCCACCGACCATTCAGCCCGGAAGACAGGCTGCTGCTGCGGGTCACTTTTGTTTTTGGTGTGGGGATGGAACCCAGGGCTTTGCACATGCTAAGCAGGGAATCTACCATTAAGCCACACCTCCAGCCGGTGGATCAGTTCCTAAGGACAAGTCCTGACCACAGAAGGACCAAAGAGCCCATGCCCGGGTCCCCTGCATGGAGGGGAGGAAATCCAGGGAAGATACACCCAGGTTTCCTTTGAGACAAACTGCACCCAACATTAGGATCCAGGAACAGGTCCAGTCCACTAGGGGGCGCTAGACACACAGCCAGCCAACCAATGGGAGCCTGGGCTTTGCGTGGCGGGCCTGGGTCTTCGCTCACACAGACCCTCCTCACTCACCTCCTCACAGATGGCCCCAGTGATAGTCACTGGGAAGATGCGCACGGTGCCTCGCCCCAGATTCTCCCGCTTCCGCTGCTGGCTGAAGGCTCTGAGCTCTTTCTTCTCCTCCTCTTCCAATGCTGTGCAGTACTGCGCCTGGGGGAAGTAGGGGTCTTCCAGACTTCATCCACTCCCAAGGTTTACTCTAGGCCTCCGTAGAGGTGGTGCCTCCTGCTGAAATAACTGCCCCTCACCTCTTCTTCTAGCACTCTGCCGTGATTTTGTCAAGGAATGTCACTTGCTGTTTCCCTGGCTGTCTAGGCCTCTCACCTCAGTTCAGCCCACTTTTGTTCCTCTAACCTGTTTCTCTCTAGCTGCCTTGCATTTGTGAATGTACCTGGCTTGCCTTCCTGTCCTTCTTTTGTGCTGTTAAGGATTGAACACAGGGCCTTCCCACTGAGATGTGTGCCTAGCCCTTTTAAATTTCTTTTTTTTGTCTTTTTGAGACAGGGTCTCACTATGCAGTTCAGGCTGTCCTTGAGCTCACTTTGTAGCCCAGGCTGTCTCAAACTTACAGTGATCCTCCTGCCTCATTCTCCCGAGTGCTGGGATTATAGGTGTGTGCCATCATGCCTGGCTACCCTTTAAAAATTTTAAGACAAGTCTTGCTAAATTGTCCAGGCTGGCCTCAAACTTTTGATGCTCCTGCCTTTGCTTCCTAGAGTGCTGGAATTCCAGGCATGCAATGCTAGCCCAGCTTCTTTTTTATTTACTTTTTATTTATTTATATTTATTTATTTATTTATTGTCTTTTTGAGACAGAGTCCCACTATGCAGTTCAGGCTGAACTTGAGCTCACTTTGTAGCCCAGGCTGGTCTCCAACTTGCAACGATCCTCCTGCCTCAGCCTCCCAAGTGCTGGGATTACAGGCGTGCGCCACCACGCCTGGCTTTTATTTACTTTTTACCAAAAAAATTGTTTTTTGAGATAGGGTCTTACTGTGTAGCTCAGGCTGGCCTTGAACTCCCTATGTACACCAGGGTGGCCTCAACCTCTAGGCAATCCTCCTGCCTCAGCCTCCAGAGTGCTGGGATTACAGGGGTGCTCCACCATTCTCGGCAGTCATTTTTTTTTTTGGGGGGGGAACATGGTCTCCCTAAGTTGCCAAGGTAAGACTTTGAACTTGTTGTCCTCCAGCCTCAGCCTCCCTCAGGCCCTTCTTCTCACCTCACTGTCGTGTGGAGGCAGCTGGTGCAGCAGTTGTTTGATCCTGTATTTTTCTCCAGGACTGTTCACATAGGGGACCTTGTCCTCGGGAAGGCAGCTGAAAAACTGGTATACCTGGGAGGACATGATGAGTGGGAGAAAACTGAGATTGGGGGTGAGCTGGGAGGCAGTGATGTGGGTCTCTCTGCTTCTCTGCAAAAATTAAAGTCATCAAAGGGAACTTCTGACTCCCTCCCTCTCCTGCCTAAAGCTCCCAAACATGTTGAGTACTGCTCCACGTCTTGTCCCTTGTCTCCCTGCCCTTGGTACTGTGGGTTGTGCCCAGGGTCTTCACATGGAGCTACATCCCCAGCCCTTGTTAGATTTTTTATTTTGAGAAAGGGTCTCACTAAGTCGCTAAATTCCCCAGGCTGGGCTTGAACTTGCAGTGCTCCTGCCTCAGCCTCCCTGAGTGTTGGGATTACAGGCCTTGCCACCACGCCTGGTTTATCTCCACCCCTTTTATTTTTTGAGACAGGGTCTCGCTAAATTTCCCAGGGTGGCCTTGAACGCACTCCTGATCCTCCTGCCTAGGCTCCTTGAGTAGCTGGGACGCAGGCTTGTGCAGCTGTGCCCAGCTTTCCTCATGTCTTGACCTGCCCTGCTCCTCTGGCCCTGCTGCACTTTTCTCCTTCCCTTCACGCAGATCTCCAAAGAGCTGTGAGCACTCAAGTGCACTGCACCGCTCTCCACGCTGCTCCAGCCAGGCTCCTCCTGCCGTGAAGCTATAGGGCCTCCCTATCTTGTTGGCGGTTCCCTCTGAATGTGGGAAGGCCCTAGAGCTCGTCCTTGGTCGTCTGCCCTGTCTCCGTTCACCTCCTTGGGAACTGCATCCAACCTCATGGCTGTTTATAGCTATCGGGTAAGGAGCCAAAAATGCGTAGCTCCGGCCCGGCACTTCTTTGAGAGGTTACTTGGAGATCTAAGGGACACCTGGAGCTCCAGGCGGCCAGAACCGGACTCACGGCTCTTACTCTCTTCACCTTGCTCTTGCCTTGGCCTTTGCTGCACTAGTGACTCCATCTACCGCTCTCAGGGTCGCATTTCAGTGGTCTTTCTCTCACCTTCACAAGCAAATCTGGGCTCTGCTTTCACATTACAGCCAGAATTGGGGCTGGTGGTGTGGCTCAGTGGTAGAGCACTGGCCCTGCACGGTCCATCCTCAGCATCACAATATATGCACCCCACAGTGGGTCCTACTACGTACACAGCACCATTCCCAGTCACCTGGACCACTGCGTAGCCTCCTCACTGTTCTCCTAGCTCTCTCCCTCATTCCTACCGCCTGACACAGCAGCTGCAGACCCTCCTGTTAAATCACAGTACAGCCAGGCGTGGTGGTGCACGCCTATAATCCCAGCACTCAGAAGGCTGAGGCAGGAGGATTGCTTCAAGTTTGAGGCCAGCCTGGGCTACAAAGTGAGCTCAAGGCCAGTCTAAACTGCATAGTGAGACCCTGTCTCAAAAAGATTTAAAAAAAAAAATCACAGGACAAACCGCTTCCCTGCTCTGCTCATGTCCTTTGTGCGACCTCCCCTTCATTCTGTGTCCAAGTCCTCTCCATGGCCCTGCCACCTCTCTGACCTCATGTCCAACTGCTCCCTGTCACACTGCTGTAGTTGTACTGGCCTCCTCACTTTTCTTCACACATGTGACAAGCACACTCCTCCCTCTGGGCCTGGCATTGCTACTCATCTGCCTGGATCATTCTAACCTTAGATATCTGCCAGGCCCACTTCTTCAGTTCCTTCAGGGCAGCTCAGACAGGGAATTCCCACAGAAGCTTACCTGGGCACTCTACATACAATTCCAGCCTTTGTCTCTCTCTCTCTCTCTCTTCTTCCTTTCCCTGCTTTTTTTTTTTTTTTTGCTGAGACAGGATCTTACTATGCAGTTCAGGCTGGCCTTGAATTCACTTATGTAGCCCAGGCTGGCCTTGAACTCACAGTGATCCTCCTGCCTCAGCCTCCTGAGTGCTGGGATTATAGTTGTGTGCCACCACACTCAGTTTGTTTTTTTTTTGAGACAGGGTCTTACTATGTAGTTCACGCTGGTCTTGGCTCACTGTGTAGCCCAGGCTGGCCTTGAACTCATGGCAATCTTCCTTGCCTCAGCTTCCAGAGTGCTGGCACTACAGGAGTGCACTACCATGCCCAGATGGATTTGGTTATCTGTAGGGGGTCCTAGAAGTAACTCCCCAAGGATATCAAACGCAAATTATATCTACAGGTTTGTTTATTGGCTGTTACTCTTTCTGGAATCAGCCTCTTGCTGGGTATGATGGCACATGCCTGTAATCCCAGCACTCAGGAGGCTGAGGCAGGAGGATCGTTGGGAGTTCGAGGCTAGCCTGGACTACAAAGTGAGCTCAAGGCCAGCCTAAACTGCATAGGGAGACCCTGTCTCAAAAAGACAAAAAAAAAAAAAAAAAAAAAAGAAGAAGAAGGCTGAGGCAGGGGGATCTCTGGGAGTTTGAGGCCAGCCTAGATGCCATAGGGAGTTCAAGACCATCCTGAACTACATAGGGAGACCCCGTCTCAAAAAAAAAAAAAAAAAAGGAATCAACCTCCATGTGGGACTATAGTTTATTTTGTTTTGTTTACTGCTGTGTCCTCAGTGCCTAAAACAGTGTTTGACATGCGGAAAATGCTCAATAACTATTTGTTGAATGAATGAATGGATGACTGAATGAATGACTGAATGAACGAATAGTCATGTAGGATAGGACTGGGGTGGATGAACAGGTCGGTGATCACTCAGGATTCTTTGTGAGGTGCGGTGGGGTGACTACCCCTCTATGAAGAAGCGTTAGGACACTGGAAATGTTTTGTATGTGTGCGTGTGGCTGCATGTGTGCCCACTGGAGAATGATAGTGGGTGGCTGGCCTTTGGTCACCTGCTCAGGCTTAAGGCCCGGGGGCACCCAGGCATACTCTTCCGATGCACAGCCCGAGTCGTCGTCAGAGATGGAGTGGCGCTGGAAGTCCGAGATTAGGCGACACATGATGCGCTCCAGGTCCACAGGCACCGTGTGCACTGCATGCTCCTCCCGCGGGCATTTGCAGTGTTGGCAGATCTTTCTTCGGGGCGAGACGGTAGGTCAATTACTAAGGAGTTGCTTATCCGGACCCACCCGGCTCCCTCAGCAGGCCAAATCTGGTTGAAAGGCGGGACACACAGATTACAGGGCTCTGCACCTGGGGCTAGGGCTGACCGTGGGCTGAGCCAAGGTCTGGCTGTTGGGTCTCTAGCCAGGCTGTGCAGATTAGGGCACTGGCTGTGAGGGGCTCAGCTTCTGGTTGACGGCAGAGCTGTAAAGCAGGGGCTGAGTAAACTGGGGTGTGTGGGGCTGGGATTAGCTCAGCGGCACAGTGCCTGCCTGGCAAGCGCAAGGTTGTGAGTTCGATTCCTGGTACCAGAAAACAAAAGAAAACAACCAAAAAAAAAAAAAAACCAACAACAAAAAAAAGAAACTGGGGTGTGGACCAGGAGCCTGGGCTTCGGGATATGAATGGGTGGGACTGTGGGGTCTCGAGGACATGCCTTAACCTGCCAGCTTTGGGGCTTGTGTCAGACTCTCTGGGCAGCGGGCCTGAGAGGGTGGGACTCTGAGACAGAGCGTGGAGGTTAGGAGCTTTCCCTCAGGAAAGGCTCTGCGCTTTGCAGGGAAACCGATGAGGCTCTGACTTGTGTGTTGGGAGTGGTGATCCTGTGGGACTGAGGGCTCTCTCTGAGGTCTTTTACGAGCTTCTGGGTGCAGGGATCCAGTAGCAATAGGACACTGGGCCTGAGCCTAAGGAGGAGGCTGGGGGAGGAGCATCTCCCTAGGGATGGGACTCCAGCTTCGGGCGGACGGGTGCGGCTCTGTAGTGGGTGGAGCCCTCCTGGAAACAACTCCAGGTAAGCGTCAGGGGGCGGGGTTCCGCAGCGGAGTTTAAGGCTCTTTTTTCTTCCCCACCGAGGTCCATCCCGGGAGCTCCGGCCAGGGAGCGTGTCCTGAGCCTCCAGGCGTTTCCCCCCAAAGGCGGCGCTCTGACAAAGGGGAGGCTTTGGGTGTGTCTCTTACCTCCACCCGTGCAGCAGGAAGCCTGGGCACTGCTCTCTGCAGGAGTTGCAAGGCTGGCCCCGGTCTGGGTCCTCCGCCTCTGGAGGCTGTAGTGGGTGGGGGCGGACGCAGGGCCGGGCAAGGCGCCGGAGCAGGGAGGGAGAAGTCAACGCTCGCTCCTCCACTCCCAGGCCCGCAACCGCACGCTGGGGCCTGCCCTACCAGGGCAGCGCTGGGCAGGCTGGGACAGCGCCTGGGGTGCGGGGGGAGGGGCACAACCGAGCCAGAGGCGGGGCATCTGAGGCTACCCCCCCCCCCCCGTATTGTCCCCCTTTCAGGGAATTGCCCTCCTTGGGCTGCTTCCCCCTCCTCCAGCCTCGCACACCTCTGGCCAGCCTTCAGTTCCTCGGGGCTCAAATACCTCCTCCAGCATCAGAGTATCCCTCCAGAGCAGAGTCCCTAATCGAGGCATCCCCTCAGACCTCATCAGGTCTCATCTCCACCCAGGAAGCCAGCAGCACTCGATTGCCCTGGGTAGGGGTCTGAGATCCCACCCTTCCTTGGGATCACCACAAGAACCCCGCTCTTCCCTTCAGAAGGCAAAGAACCCCTCCCCGAAACTGCGGCTGCATTCCCTCTTACCTAAAGAGCCGAAGACCCTCCCCTAGGATCTTAGGAGGCTTCTGCTCCACTCGGAAACCTCCGCACTGAGACCTTGGCATTTACCCCTCATATCTTAGGACTACCGTGTTCAATTCTCTGAACCACCAAAACCCAGACCCCACAATTGCTGGTCAAAGACTCCCTTCCAAGAAGAACCCCCTCCTATCTAGGAAGTCAAAAGCTCTCAGACTCAGGTGGAAACTTGTAAGCCCCGTTACCCCAAATCCCAGCCCCTTGACCATACGCATAAGCATTGTGCACCCCAGGAGTGTAGGACACCTCCACTCACATTATGTTCCCCCAAGATATGGGGGTCCCTTACCTCAGAAACTCAGGAGGTCCCTGCTCATCTCAATACCCAGAGACCTAGTCTTTTTGGCCCTCACAATCCCCTCCCATAATTCACAGGAAAGGGGAGCCCACCAGGTTCCAAGGGTGCTGCTAAAATGTTTCGGGAAGCCAGGCATGGTGGTGGTGCCTGCCTGTGATCCCAGCACTTGGGGCGGCTGAGACAGGACGATTGCCATGAGTTCAAGGCCAGCCTGGAGTTACACAGTGAGTTCAAGGCCACCCTGAACTACAGAGACCCTGTCTCAAACAAACAAACAAACAAACAAGCAAACAAATTGTTCCAGGAGGTGATTAGGGAGCTCGGACCATCATATCTATCTTACATCTTCAACCTTACACCTCTAGCAGCTCCAGCGTCAGGCCCGGGAAAGCTGGGGATGGGGATTCCCGGCCTGCGACGCTCCTCCTCGCTATCCCTGTGCCCCCTCGCCTGGACCTCCTCAGTTTACCCGATCCCCACCGCTGCGCTGAGTCGTGCTCACCACACGCCCGGAGCGGCGTCTCCGGGATCCACGCGCGAACATGGCGCGTCCAGACAGGGTCAAGCCAGGCCGGGTCAGGCGAATGGAATCCGCCAGGCCACCGCGCGTCCGGCCCGGGAGCTGTGTTCCGTAAACCTGACACCCGCGTGGGAGGAGCGCGTCCGGCGGGGCCCGCCCCTGGGCCTGTGCTCCCCGCGTGCCACCCCTGCCTAAGGGTGAGCTGCCAGCGCCAGGAGCGCCCCATTCTCTCGGCGCGGCAGGCGCGGGGCGCCCAGAGGCAGGACCTCCACTGTCCCAACGTGCTGCGTAGCCTCTCGGGCTCGAAGGCTGCGGTGGAGGAGGTGTTGTGTGTGCGTGTGGAGGTGCGGGGGCCTGGGGCTGGTGAAATGACTGCAAGGGGTGTGTTGCCGCTTTGTGTCCATTCATCGTGGATGCTTATTTGGGGCAAGGTTTAGAGCCACCTCTGGGCGCCCCCACCAGCGAGGTCGTCACAGTCTTTTCCTCGGATGAATGTTGCAAGATATCCCGCAACTCCATTCGCAGCTCCCGGTGGGGTTCCCTGACTCTCACCAGGCAGCCAGGCCCTCCCTAGCCCCTTCTCAGAGCGAGGGTTATTTCAGATTTCTGTGGCGGAGGCTAAAGGCCCCTGCCGGGTTCCAGGCCCTCTTCCTCCCTCCCTCCCATCCTTTCAAGTTTAGATGTTGTACCCTCAAAGTGCGGAGACTGGAATCTTGAAGTCTGCCTTCCCTTCCCCGCACCCACGTTCCCTCTCCTTGAGCTCTGTGCCCGAGCTGGGAGTCCCTCCTTCGCTCTCACTGGTTGCAGCTGTGCCGCGGGGCTGGGAGGGGACCCTGCGGCAGTCGGAACTCAGAACTCGGGCGCCTGGCCGGGGTCTCTAATTAGGCAGGAGGCGGCGGCGGTCAGCTCGGCCTTTCATCGTGGGCGCCGGGGAGCTCCCCCCACACTATTACACACGTCCCTGTCTCTACTCGCCCTGCTTGTCCCGGGGAGGAGTCCTGGAGAGGGGAAGAATGAATAAGTTGACGAAGGAATCAGGCAGACAGACGCCCGCCTCCTGCCTCCAACCCAGCCGGTCTGGCAGTTTGCAGCCGGGGCAGAGGCGAGGACTAGGCAAGACCGCAGGACGTGAAGATGAGGGGGTTGGGTAGGGCGAGGTCTCCCTGTGGAGTCTCCGTTACCGGCCACTCGGGGTCAGATGCTTAGGTTCCTTGCTTGCAGATGACCAAAGAGGCCATGTATTTTGGTAAAAAAAGGAAAAAGGATTTACTCGAAGCTAGCTCTGTGGACTTGGAGAGGCCCATTTGCCTCGGATCAGCATCTCTCCGTGCGCAGGGGGACGAGGGTCTTTTATAATAAGCGGCAGAGGGGCGCGCAGAGACAGTGGAGACCTTCACACTTAATCACTTCCAGCAGCCTTTGGTTCATTCCTCTTGTGGAAGGATCCTGGACTCCAGCCTTCTGGGACTCACATCTACACAGTCTGTCACTTATTTTAGGCTGAGGGGAGGAAGTGTTGCTTATGTGCTCAGCAGGAGGAAGTCTGGAGAGACTGCTTACCTCAACAAGAAAAAAGTCTAACTTTTCAAGTTCTATCTTGGAGTGCTGGTCACATCCCTACTCAGCGGTTTGGAGAGGGCTCCACAGGCGCTGGGAAGGATCTTGGCTAAGGGAGCAGACTGAGAAGTGAACTCTAGAAAGACTGGGTATTGGGTGGCTGGTAGCAGGGCATCGAGCAGAGCTCCACAGTGCAGGAGTTAGAATCATGATGGGTAAGCAAGGCTCACAGGATGTGTGGTGGCTCCCTGCGGATCAGGCTCAGAGCTTCCTCTCCCCCACTGCTCCCCTTCCCACCCCAAGAAAGACACCTTAAGAAATTAGGGGCTGAGTGTGCTGGTGCATGCCTGTAATCCCAGCACTCGGGAGGCTGAGGCAGGAGGATTGCTGTGAGTTCAAGGCCAGCATGAATTACATAGAGAGACCCTGTTTTAAGGAAAAAAAAAAAAAAAAAAAAAAAAAAGAAAAATTAGAGCCAGGTGGACTAGGTGGTTGAGGAGTTTATTTGGGGAGAATTACTCATGTTTGTTCTTCCTTGGGAGGGGATCTTCAAACAATATCGAAGGGTGCAGGAAGTGGGGGTCTGGAGGGGAAGAGAAGGGGCCACAGCCAGACAAAATGGCAACACACGATCACAGGCACTACCGACATCACAGACACAGCAGAGGGTGCAGGATAGGGCTCCAGACCAGGCCTCCAACCACCCCAGGATAGGCAGAGGTGTGGAGGGAGGGAGGGGCGGGGGAAAAGGGGTGGGCCAGCCCCACAGACCCATTGGCTCTGTCCTCTGATTACCTAGCTGTGTGATCAAGGGTGTGGGCAAGGGTGGACAGGTATTTCTGTCTGGATCCCACCCCTCACCCTCCAAGCCTTGTCACTCAGCTCTTCCCAGGCCACTAAGGTCCCCAGCCTTGGCTGGGCACATTCCCTCCTACCCTTAACCAAATTCATCCTGCAGCTTCCAGCCACCCCCCGCCCCAGCCCCATTGCCCAGACCCTCTCATTTAAAGCACTTTCTTCATTGCTCCTTTTGGGGAGGGGCTGCTCCTTCCGGAACCACCATACAAGTCCCACTTTGTCCTACCCCGTCTGGAGCCCTCAGTAGGACCTCACCTTGAACTCGCCCCTTCCCCAAACACTACTTCTTGCCCCACTCAAGATCCCCTTTATAACCAAGCTCACTCCTGAATGTGCCAAGCTACAGTTCCAATCCAAGACCTGCCTGCCCACTCTGGAGCCCGTGTCCCCTTCACTGAAAGGTGCCCCTTCTACAGGCACGCCTCACCCTTCCAAGCCCTGGGCAGAGTGCCCCAAGGACTCTTCGTCTATAGACTCCAGATCCAGCAAGCTTGGAACCCAGCCCCTGCAGACCAGTCCCCTAAACTCCACAGCTCTCTGCCAAGACTACCATGGGAGCAAAGCTGTCCTCTCTACCCCAGATCCCATCCCAGCTCTGCCTTTCTCCCGCCCTAGGGGCTGACTTTCCCATTACAGCCTCTGTTCAGGCCTTGCTGGAGGAAGCAAGGCCAGAGTTAGGAGGCGGGAGGGGGGAAGGGGAGAGTCGGAAATCACGCTCACCCTCCCCCACACAGCTGAGGCCTGTCCCCCCCCCAACCCCTTCCAGAGCCCCTTAACCTCAGGGAACAGGGCCAGGAACGCAGAGGGGCTGAGGGATGCAGAGGAAGAGATGGGGGAAAGGGAGGAGCCTGCTCAAGACGGCCCCAAGTGCAGGAGGGAAGTGGGCGAGGGCAGGGCTCAGACAGATAAATAGATATTTATATATATAATATATATTATATATATATATAAACAGCAAAGACAGTTAGGGTCTCCTGGCTTGAGGGTGGAGACCTAGGGTACAGGGGCAGGAAGGGGGGCAGGCCTTCTCCTGAGCTCTTGCCCACCGAGGGGGTTCTTCGGGGCTGCACTGACCTGTGGAGACAAAAGACACAGAAAGGAGAAAGGGTCCAGACACAGGTGGCACCCTCGGGGAGGGCCTGGGCTGCTGTGTTCTCCCTCTGGTTTTATCTTCTGCCATCTTTTTCTTCTTCTTCCATCACTCAAAGCCCTGAAGTCAGCTTCCTCCCAGAGGTTCTTTTTTTTGGTACCAGGAATTGAACTCAGGACCTTGCACTTGCCAGGCAGGCACTGTGCCACTGAGCTATATTCCCAGCCCATCAGAAGATATTTTTTTTTTTTTTTTTTTTTTTGGTTTTGGTACGGTACCGGGAACCGAACTCACGAGCTTGCGCTTGCTAGCCTTTTTTTTTGTGTGTGTGTGTTGCAGTTACCAAAAACCCAAGCCATTTCAAGGGTACTATGGTCCTTTTGCCCTTAATGACAGCTCAGAAAA